CCATGAACACACTGAGCAAAGAAAATGAAAAAAGAACGAAAGAAAAAGAGGGGGGGGTTGGGGGGGGGGGAGGAGGATTATTGCTCCGGGCTTAATCCAATGCGATCCGGATCAATCGGAAACATATTGAAAGTAAGACAGCTAAACAAGACTCATGTGCGTAATCCAAATGGAGGCTGACGTACTGCACGTATGGCCCCAGCCAAATACGCCCCCCCCCCCCCCTCCGCTGCGTCTGACAACCCCATTCACCCCACGTTCTGAGCAGTCAAGGACGCCACCTAGGACGGTCCGGACCCTCCAGAATGTCTGATTTAGAAGCGAAAGGCCACACTGATAGCAAAGGGCGGGCTCAGAGAGCTGAACAAATGACGTGGATCAGATTATGCAAGACGCAATGGCAAGTAAGTGCTGTCCATTTTACCTGGTGGGACACCGCCGTAAAACACATCATAGAGGAGTATTGGACCCGGGACCAAATTGCGGAAATATTCTGCTGCCCGAGGAAGAAAGATGACGTCTCCTTCATGAAGATAGGGAGGGCCATTTCATCGTTGGCGCAAAGGAGGCCCCTGCATTTGTTGTTCGAGAACGCTGCTGTGAAGAATTGCCTGCTCCTAGTCCAGTTCCAGTCCTCATCAAGAGAGGTCTTCTGAAGACCATGCTTTTCTAGTGATCGAGGCCTCCGCCTGGATCTCCTGAAAATCTGCTTTAGGCTTTAGGCTTCAGCGTTGGCGAACGACTGCTTCACCAGCTACAGCCAACCTAAAAACTCAATTGCTTTCTGGTACGAACTATGCGCCGTGTTCGCCTTGTCGCGCTTCATCTCCACATCCCCGCGTTTTACCCATGTCTTGACATAATGGGGATCAAGTAGGGCCGCCCGCATCTGTTGCATCTTTGGGTGCTTCTCCGTAATTTCCTAAATGATATAACACGCGGCTGCTCTGCCCCAGAAGAACACAGCGTTTATAGATGGTCAATATCGATGGCGTTCGAGTACAGATCGATCGTCATGAAATCGTTCCTTTCCGCTGCCTCGGAAAGGGCAGTGGCAAGCACGAACCTCCGTTGCCAACTTTGCCGGCTGCTCGTATCATGCATGAATTTAGAATACCTGAAATGCTATAAGCAAGCTCCGTTTGCAGCACCTCATCAGTAGGTACGGTAAATATTGGTGGTGTTAGCTGGCATATGTATGTAGTTTAGGGCGACTTTCACGCCATCAAATTCAAACCTGCATGTCAGTCAGTCATGGAGGATCATAATCCCATTCCCCAAAACCCTCCATGTGACGCTCTTTGGCAAAGATCTAGAGGCTCTTTCAACGTATCTCCTCCCATTTTTGATCTTGAAGACACAAAAAGGCCACAATAGGCCGCCAATGGGCCGGTGCAGTTTCTCGTCAGACATGGCGACCTCCAGTGCCATTTTGTGTGGATTCGGCTGAGACGGAAGGATGCCAGGATTGCACGTCAAAGGTTCTCGGGAGCCCAGATGCGCTAACAGCTCATCGTCTTTTCCTCTGCTGTTTTCACACGTATTAAAAGCAGCTCGTTAGCTTCGACCTCTGCGGGGTCCAACTGCATTGCTCTGGCCCGCCCCGCCGCTCGAAGAAAACTCGGACTTGTTCGCATGACAGCAGTCAGTCAGTAATTCCCCTCTCCACTCTATGATCTCTCCGGAACAGGAACGCGCTTTTGATGAAGTCATGTCCTCAGTCGGTGCCCCGGAGACATCATCGATATCACTGGTGGTATCGAGATTCGAAGATGACAGGCCTAGCACGAATGCTGGTTTACCTGGTGGGGTGCAGTCCCTTTACTAAGTTATATGGGTCGTTGCTGAATAATAGTTCGTTCCCCTCTCATCCATCATAGGCAGACCCGAACACAGCATCCCCCGACCTCTGTTTTGTATGCCGTCATCTCGACTTTGAACATGTTGGATTTCACAATTCCTCAGAATACTCGAGTAACAACTATTCATTTCAGAGAGAATTCCCTTCTCTGTGGAGCAGCTCCAGCACCTGCACGTTTTGCAAGAAGATTGTTAGCATTATCACGCACTGGATTGCCAACTACCCAGGGACGAGTTCATTAGATGTCTCCAAGTGCCACGTCGCTGTGAACCTCGAAACGGACTGGCATACGGTTGCTCGAGAGAATGAAGGAGGATGCACCACGGTCGATGAGAAGGCGTATTCTGATCGGATTAGAATACACTGCTCCGTTCCAAAACTTGGCACAGGGGGTGAAGCTGGGCAGTCACAGTTTCTGACATTCTTTTTACAGAAATATGATGAGCATCAGCCATATGCTGGGCGTAAGAGGTCCGCAGTCGCGGATTTGAGCCTATTCAAGGGATGGAAAAGGATGTGCCAAGTGGAACACGGGACGAAATGCAGTCAAATATTTAAAGGGATACCAAAGATCAGACCCCGCGTTATCGATGTAGATCAACGGTGCTTGGTTTTTGCCGAAGAAGATGAGCAATGGGGTCTGTTTAAGCTATGTCTGGGGGCAAGCAAAAACTCTTCGACTCACGAAAGATAATCTCCAAGCTTTCTCAATTCCAGGGTCCCTTGGAACGGGTGTTCTTCCAGATAGCATCGAAGACGCTGTTCAGGTCACAAAAGGGCTGGGGGAACCGTACCTCTGGATTGACAGCCTTTGCATAATACAAGACGACGAGCAGGATAAGGCAGCTTTCATCTCGAGAATGGATTCGATCTATGCTTTAGCGGTTGTCGTCATCGTCTCCTCCACCTGCGTCGACGCCAACTCTTGCCTTCCAGGGGTTAGATCTGGTTCACGACGTCAAGAACAAGAACCGTTCCAGATCAAAGACGTTACGTTGGTGCGCTCCCTCGATCCCGTCCTCGGTGTCAAGGTTGATCTGCGCACGGGACGTGCCGCGGGATATCTAGGGGAGACTGTTTGGGACACACGGGCTTGGACTCTGCAAGAGAGGTTTCTCGCGTCTAGAGCCCTAGTTTTCACAGCAGACCAAGTCTTCTGGGAATGTGAAGAGGCATTCTGGTGCGAAGATAGCTTTCGTGAGGTCTCCAACCTATCTCCAGACCCCCACCGTACAAGTCTTTGCGGAGGAGAACTAAATCTTTCGTGGAATTCTGACATCCCGACATTTGATCATTTCTATCGGGTGCTCTTGGAAGAATACTCCGGTCGCGCCCTGACATTCGATAGTGATGGGCTGAATGCTTTCAGCGGTATCATACGAGCCTTTGAGAGGTCCATGGGGGAGGAATTTTTCATGGGTATGCCGACTGCCTACCTAGAATCCGCCCTTGCATGGGGTCACCGTACCCACAAATTGAGACGGAGACGTGGTGTGCAGGCGCCGGGACTCACCCCGGATACCGGCAGCCAGTTTCCGAGCTGGTCGTGGGTTGGTTGGACCAGTGATGGAAAGACCAAACTCGCCAACCAAAACCTAGCCGCCGAAGGTCTAGGTATAAGGTTCTACCGTGTCTCCGACAAAGGGAAGAGAACTACAGAACTAAAGCAGGCTACGAGGTTCAACCGCGAGGTCGATTTGCTTGCTGAAGGCTCCAACCTCGCCTGTCGCTCATCCCGACCATACCAAATCTCCATCGATCACCTGCCCAAGGACCACTCGGTTAATTTAAGCTCAATGCTCGGCTTCTGGACCGCGTCTGCCGTCCTGAGCATGGTGAGGTGGTCTGGCGACGGCAACGCCACGTCTGACAATCAGGAAATGGCCCTCTCCCAACGCCCCGGTAGCAAAATCCAAGTGCTCTGGTCCCATATCGCACCATCCTTAAAACCCGGGGATAGAGTTGAGATCATTGCCGTCGCCCAAAACAGAGGGAGCTGGGACTCCGGCCATAGTGACAATGGGGCGATAGGGGTTATGGTAATCTCCTGGGACGCCGGGGGTGTAATTGCTAGCCGTGAAGGATTTGCGTGGATGGCGATTCGGGAGTGGACGGCGTTAAGAGGTCGTAGATGGAAGCTGATTACTCTGGGCTAAAATTATCGCAGTGGGTCATAGCCAGAGGACAGGGCCAAAAGTTCTTTTCTTACGGCCCACAGGTCGTGGCTGTTTATTATTACTTTTGAACCGGTTTCAAGTCGTTCGTTTACAAGAGGGACTTTTCGGATTCTTATATTGCACACAGTCAGGTCATTTAAAGAAAGACCATGAAATTCTTTTCTTCTCAAGCAACAGCTCGATCTTGGGATCTCCGTCCGTCTGCCCTCCTGTTTCAGTGGCAAGAAGACGTGAAATGAATTGCACCGGCTAACTAATCCAGAGTGACTTGTCGACCGAAAATCCCACCCTTCGTCCCACCGCCCGTTTCGCTATTCCAGAGCCTCTGGATCAAAAGGATCGATCAGACCGAGGCGAACAATTAAGCTGGATTGTGCTTGATTAAGCATCCCCACCCAACCCTTTTCGCCTGTAGGCAGCATAGGAAGAACGAACTAGCATCCTGCAAGCAAAAGAATTAGGTATCACATCGGTAGTTAACTAACTAGCAACCGGTCCATTGCCGTAGTCTCTCTATTGTCGTCCCAACTGCTGGCATCGGTAGGTATTTCCAACCAACAAACTTCCTTCGGGTATCTAGTGCTGGCGTCTAGCTGACTGACTCTTTTAACTTGGGGCAGGAAATAAGCTCAACCTGCCGTGGGATCTGCGGGTAACTAGGTTAGTTAAAGCGTTAAGCTTCGCCGGATCTGGAGGTTAATTACAGTTCGAACGTTGGTTTGGAAGTTGGGGGCCCACGGATTAAGATTAAGAAAGATCCAGATTAAGGTTAGGGTTCGGGTTAGCTAAAATATCTCATCGAGAACAATAGAGTTGGAAGATGTGTGAGGCATGAGTTTGGACGTAGTTTTCATAGAATAGCACAACTACAGGTTTTTCGGGGCCGAATGTTAAAACCATGTGTGCAGCTTGTAGCCATGAACTCTGTTCCTTTTCTTTACTCTCAACGTTTACTTGACGCTCTTTTGCATTGTGAATATTGTAAAACAAAAAAAGTCAACGTCCGAGAGAATGCAAATCTTCGCGGTACGTTAAAAGATCAACAATTAGATTAGAAAACTAGCATATATCATCCTCACACGCATCAGGTGTGTACTGTATGTCAAAACCACACAAAAACTCGAATCGAAAATTCCAAGATCTAAATGCCATATCATCGAATCCCCCCACCTCAAAATCCAACCTGTAAAACCTGCTCAACTTACCCTTTCAAAAAGCCCCCATAATACGTTTCCAACCACTCTGCAGCCTTCCTCCCACTCTCTACCCCTTTGGCTCCAATATCGTCCCACCTCGCAATGCTCCCGACATAGCCATCGGGACGGACATTGACAATCACCACAGTATTGTCGGTGACATCTCCCAGCCATTTCTTAGTACATCCTCCGCCGGACATGACATCGTCGAGGTAAACAGTCCACCGACTCGCCTGCAAAAGAGGCGGAAGAGAGCTGAGCTCCGCGTCGCATTTCGCCGTCCGTGTCACAAGCGCATACGTGAACAGTTTAGACAGGGGGGTATATCGACCCAGTTGCTCGTATTTGTCCATCGGCGCCACGGGGGGCGGGGTCGCAGCATACGACTTGTTAGCACGGGCGGTGGCTCGGGAGAGAAGTGATGATGGCGCTTGGATGCAGTCACAGAGGCTGTCTAGGAAGCCAGCGGCGGTTGGCAAACTAGGGGCGAACATGTAAATGCGGAACTGGCTTAGGAGGGGGATGTCGAGCTGGATGTCGACCGGGTTCGCGTCCATGAAGCGGGAGACTCTGGCGGGGGTCAGGAGGGCGCCCGGTTTCAGGAGATTCACCGATGAGCCCGAGGGGAGTGGTGTTGTTGAGTCCTCCACTTGATTGAGGATATTGGGTGAGTATTCTGCTCCGACGCCGGAGATGAAGCGGATGTTCTCGTCGAAGTTGCGGGAGAGGGCCTCGTCGCCTTCGGCGAACGCCTTGACGTGTTCTGCGTCGAAGTTGATGAGGTCTTGAGCAATTTTCTTGCGTTCCTCCTCGTACGTGGCGAGGAGGGAGCGCGGGGCTAGATCCCGGGCTACGAGGTTTAGCTTCCAGGCGAGGTTGAAGCTGTCGTGCATGCTGGTGTTTGCACCTTGGGCGGCGAGGGCGGAATGACAGTGGCCAGCCTGTGACTTGTGTGTTGGAACCGATGCGGGGACAGGGGGGTGTTCTGCAACAGCAAACTTACATCTCCTGCAATGAATATCTGTAGCTCAGCGTCTGCAAAGTGATTGGCAACGCGCTGGCTGACGACGTAGTTACCAAACCATTCTGTAGCTCGTTAGAACTTCATATTTCCCAAAAATGTTGGGGAGTGCTGACCTATGGACTTCCATTCCAGGGTGTATGGTGCCATCGCCTCTCTAGCTCTGCTCATGACATATTCCGGCGTAGCAAGGGACTTGTCCATCCGACTCCCTTCCTTCGAGCTCAATTCGACGTAAAGACGGGTCATATTGCGTTCTCTTGGAATCCAAAGAATGGAGCCAGCGTGATGGGTGCGGACAGCAACTTTGCTCCACAGGTCGGGGAAATCGGTTTCAATAACGCCTGTGTTTATGTCCATCCTGATTAGCCCGGCATGTTATTAACAACCAGACACACGGAACCCCCATTACCGTCGAGCACTCCCCAGGATGCGTTAGTCATTTCTCCAATTAACTTTGCTTCAGGGATAAACGGCCTGACCAGCGACCGGGCTCCGTCGCACCCCACGAGGTAATCTGCTTGCAACACCCGAGGGGCCTTCGTTGCGGGGTCCCTAAAGACCACGTCGATTCTCCCATCTGCAGTCGATCTGGAACATTCCATGAACGGGCTGCTGCGTGTGACAGAGAACCTGCGCTCCTCCATGTCTTGGATCAGAACATCTTCAATCATCCCCTGGTGGGCGAGCAGGATGTACGGATCTAACGCTCCGACATGGGCTGGATAATGGATCTTGCGACCCGTCCGCTGAAGAGGCTTGTCCGCTGTAGATTCCTTGATGGTTGATGTTAGGGCGCGCCTCGCCAACATACATAGATATCTGGACACACGCAGAGCTTACCCAGAACGATATATCGTAGACCTTGACGCCTTTTCTCAGAAGGTCGTCCGCGAGTCTGAGCTGTTTGAGGGTCTCGATGGTCTTGGGCTGGATTCCATCGGCTTTTCCCGTCGACGTCTTGTCCGACCTATCATCGAGAAGCGTGGTTTTAATTCCGTATCGCACCAGGTTTTCACTGCCTTGCACAAGTTAGCGCAAACAAAGCAGTTAAAAATAAATGTAAAACAAAGAAATCCCAAGGAAGCACCACAAAATACAGCATAGCATCAACGTACGCGAGCATCAGACCAGATGGGCCAGCTCCCACCACGGCCACGGTGGTGGATGTCTGGGGAGCTGGCCGCCCATTGAGGTCCGCGGATCCCTCCTTATCAGCACTGGGGCCCATCTTGCGCTTCTTCGGGTCGCTCTGGGAGTGAGATCTTTTCATGGTGGGAGAGAGCAAGCTGTGCGGTTCTTCCAGCGAAATATGCAGAGCAGGCCGGCAGTGGCGACGACACACCACATGACACGCTCCGAGCGGGTCGCTTATTCCTTGAATCGCTCTGCCCAGGTCTCGCTCACTCTGTGGTTTCTTCGGGCGTATGACAGCGCCACCACCGAATTTTCCGCCGTCCGGGCAACAGTGCTGGGTGCGGGTGCGGGTGTGGTCTGTATATACGGGCGGGTGCGTGGGTGCGTGGGTGTTGCCAGCCCTGTTGTTGGTTGTTGTCGGGGCCCGTGGCCCCTCCCGGAGTCTCTCTCCGTCCCGGGGGCCAGCACCCAACTTCCAGGGGTCGAGGGGGCTCAGCACTCTTGGCACCTCCGGTTAAAGCTCCCCCCATCTTTGGCGACAGCCAACGGCCAAGCACAAGGATATTTCCAACCCCGTAACGTCGAGCGGTAATACCAGAACCAAACCCGGTAACTATTGCCCCACTGTTGCTGCGTGCTGTTGTTACGTCCCGAGCCGAATGGCCGACTACTACGGGGGAGAGCTGCCAGTGGCGGGGCGCATGTTGACAAGCAATTGAGCTGAAGAAGGCGGGGAAGAATAGACATATCTAATCGAAAAGAAACAAGGGGAATATAGGCCAAAACAGCTAAATCGGCTTACTGGAGCCCAGAAAAACTACTACTACTACTACTACTACTACTACTACTACTACTACTACTACTACTACTCCCAGAATGCCCGGTCTCGAACCATGGCAGAAGATCGTTGCAGAGAAGAGATCGCTCCGAGAACAGGCTTTGCAGCCCTACTTCGTGGATGGTATTCATCTCAGGCCTGAGAGAGTGGCCAGTGTTGCGGATAGATCGCGCATCGAGCCCCGTGAAGCTCAGTCAATCACGGAAATCGACAGTGTTGAGCAGCTGCATGGCCGCCTCTGCCGGGGCGAATTGACTGCGACAGATGTCACGCTTGCATACATCAAGAGGTTGGATAGCTCCTATACCGGCTCCTCCTTGTCACCTTTGCATTGAAGAAAACGAAAAGAAATAAAGAAAGAAAGAAAGAAAGAAAGATAAAGAAGTTTGTTCCTAATTCATCTACGCCAGAATCACAGAGCCACGGTGGCACATCAACTGGTTAGTTTGTCCATGGTGGATCTCCTCCAGTTCCCTGCGCTGATAGAATCGCCGAACGAGCGGGACGATTTGGCCATAGACGAATGCTATTACCGAAGTCATGTTCGATGAAGCGCTCAAGCAAGCCCGGGAGCTCGACCGATCTTTCAAAGAAACCGGCAAGGTCAAGGGTCCCCTCCATGGCATCCCCGTTTCCTTGAAAGATCAGTTCAACGTCAGGGGCTTCGACACCACTCTGGGGTATGTCGGCCGCTCCTTTTCGCCCGCAGCGGAAGATGCAACTCTGGTCCAGATTTTGAAGAGCCTCGGGGCTATCATGATCGCAAAGACGAACTTGCCTCAGAGTATTATGGTGCGTACCGCCAGTGCAATTGGCCCCCGTCGTTCTCTCAACAAACCAAGACCTCACGCTCACAACCCAATAAACAGTGGTGCGAAACCGAAAACCCGCTTTTCGGCTTGACGGTGAACCCGCGAAACTCCAAGTTCACCCCAGGCGGCTCGTCGGGCGGAGAGAGCGCCCTGCTTGCTCTCCACGCATCGATTTTGGGATTCGGGACGGATATCGGCGGCAGCATCCGCATCCCTCAGCACATGCTCGGCCTGTATGGGCTAAAACCGAGTGTACGTTCGTTCACCAAGAAACATATTCTCCACACACACACACACACACACACACGTGTATATTTGTGTCCTGTTTTAACATCACCACCAGAGCGCGCGTCTGCCATACCACGGCATCCCCGTCTCGACAGAGGGCCAAGAACACGTCCCCTCCTCCGTCGGGCCCATGACCCGCGACCTCTCCTCGCTGATCTACATAAGCAAGCACCTCGCCAACTCGCAACCCTGGCACCTGGACCCACGCTGCTCGCCCCTCCCCTGGCGCGACGAAGTCTTCCAGGAAATCCAATCCCGCCCGCTCGCCATCGGCCTCATCGTCGACGACGGCGTTGTCAAGGTCCACCCGCCCATCGAGCGTGCCTTGCGCGAACTCTCCGCAAAACTGCAAGCGGCCGGGCACGAAATCGTTCCCTGGAACGCAGACGGGCACCAGGAATGCATCGAGATCATGGATGCATTTTACACCGCAGACGGCGGCGAGGATATCCGCCGCGATGTCCGCGCTGCGGGGGAGCCGTTCATACCGCACGTCGAGAAACTGGTGAATAAGGGGAGCCCGATCTCCGTCTACGAGTACTGGCAGCTGAACCGGCGCAAGTGGGCTGCGCAGAAGCGGTATCTGGACAAATGGAATGGGGCCCGCGCGCCGCTATCCGGTCGGGCCGTGGATGTCCTGCTTGCACCGACGATGCCGCATGTTTCTGTCCCGCATCGGTGCTGCCGATGGGTTGGATATACCAAGGTGTGGAATTTCTTGGACTATTCGGCGCTGACGTTTCCTGCCGGTGAGGTTTGCGCCAAGAGGGATGGGCTTCCCAAGACACCGTATCAACCGCGGAATGCGCTCGATGAATGGAACTGGGGGCTCTATGACCTGGAAGCGATGGCCGGGCATCCGGTTAATTTGCAGATCGTGGCGAGGAAGCTGGAGGAAGAGAAGGTCCTGGGCGCTGCGGTGGTCATCGAGAAAGTCATGCGCGGGTTATAGATCTGCACTTTATTTCTGCACTTTTATTTCTGCACTTATAGTTCTGCACTTAAATAGTTCTGCACTTTACATTTAAATCTCCATCCGCATCGCCCTAACGATGTGGTTTTAATGAGGATAAGAGAAACCATTACGTAGTTAAATATTGAACTTAGAAAAGCCACGAAAGAAGAACTCCTCATGCTCTGGCTGCACTGTCCACGCTACGGATTTCGTATACTTGTCTGTGAAGCCCATATCCCCATGCCACTGGAGCTATCTCCTATCTCCAAACCAACTACCACTTCGTAACCCCTCCATCAACGCAGATATCTTGACCCGTCATATACGAACTGGCATCGCTTGCCAAGAACACGCAGGCACCCATGATATCATCGGGTTCCGCCAGCCGGTGGTTCATGATGTCGGTCTTCCATTTCTCAACGAGGTGAGGGAACTGTTTGTTGGAAGGGCGGATCAGTTAAACTGTTCCACAGCCATTTCTGCATTGAACATGGCGCACACAGTCAGGATAGGTATAACTCACAGCGGCAGTCATCTCTGTCCGTACGTATCCAGGGGACACCGAATTTACTCTGATTCCCTGTTTAAAAAAACTCAGCCATCCACCCAAGAAACCAATCCGAAGGAAAGGAAAGAAAGGGAAAAAAAAAAAAAAAAAAAAAAAAAAAAAAGAAAAGAAAAGAAAAGAAAAGAAAATACATAAGGCACCAGCTCCTTCGCGATAGCGGGACACATGGCCCGAACCGCCCCCTTGGTCCCGCAATACGCCGAGCTATTCTGGTCCTTAATAGCCATGTAGCTCGCAATGCTCGCAACCAGCACGATGCTGCCGCACTTGGTCCCGTTGGCAATCATCTGTTTAGCCGCCAGCTGCGCCGTGAAAAACAGGCCCATAACGTTGGTCGACAGAAGCTCCTGGTGGGCTTCGTAGGTGTATTCCAGGAACGTGAGATGTCGGTTGATGCCGGCGCAGGGAACGCAGATGTCCAGCTTATTCTCGAATTCTTTACTGAATTGGGCGAAGCCGTTCTCTAACGACGACTTGGAACTTACGTCTACTCTTTTTATGTATATGGATTTATTTTTCCCGGGCAAAGGGGCGTTAGTGTGTGGTTTTTCTTCCTCATAAGCTCATCGCTTTTCTCTTTTCTTTTCTTTTCTGTCTTCTTAATCTTCTTCTCTGGGTATCGACGGCAGCAGATTGGTTATCCCTTACTTGTAGAATGCAGTTTTGACGCCGTGTTTACTGGCGATGCGGTGGAAGCCTTCAATCGGGTCTATGATGTCGAACACCGCAACGTCTGCGCCGGCTTCAGCGAGGCCCTCCGCGAACGCAAGACCGCATCCCCGAGCGCCCCCTGTCACCAGAGCCGTTCGACCTTTGAGAGAGAACTGAGTTTGGATTAGTCTTCATGCATTTCGGTCTTGCAGAACCCCGGGGGGGGGGGGGTTGGCAAGAATGCATGCCGTTGTGCGGGCTACGGTGAACTTTCTCGCTGACGAGGGCGGGAGAAGCTGCTTACCCGGGACATCTTGTAGCCAGGCGCCAACAGCGAACGGCGGCGTTTTGGTAAAAAGCGGTTGACGGTGTTTTCCCGGGGGTTTGGAATGCTTGCAAAATGCTCAGATTGCTAGAATAGTCAAATGCTGCTGTTTTCTGTCCCTCTGAGGGTGGAGATGTGCTTGAACAGCGACAGTCGCTGCCAGGAAAACTCTCGCTTAGTTAGTTAATCAACAGTTAAACTAGTTAAGTTAACGATAATCCTACAACATTGGCAATTTCTCCACTGCTACAGGTTTGGAACTACAAACTCCACAGTTGCCAGAGGTAGGGGTTTAAGTCGCCCGCACGGCAACGTTTCAGCCTATCCATGCCCATTCCCCTTCCCATTGAGGTGAGTAACTATGTGGCCGCCCTGTAAACTGGTATGGGGCGGGGGCGCGCAAATCAGCGGAAAGTTAGTTGCCCCCCCCACTTCTCCCCACAGCGCTGCTCGCCGCAAGCGCAAGCCTGCTTTGCCGGCTCCTTTTCTCCGCAAGAAGCAAGTTCCACGATTGCTGCTGGAGGGGGCAAACTCATTAACCCCGCACCTGCGCTTAATCTTGCGGCATCCTCCTTGCAACTTGTAGCATCCTCCGTGCAGTTGCTCTTGTGGGTTGTCATTGGAACCTATACCTTCTCTCGAACCATCCATCCTCTGTTCTCTAAGCAGTAACTAGATCTGTACATACGATATCCAGCACACTCCCCATACGCACGCAACAACAACAACAACAACAACAACAATGGGGAAAAAGCGAGTTCTTGTCAGCTACGGTGTCGACATTGACGCAGTTGCCGGTTGGCTAGGGTCATACGGCGGCGAAGACAGCACCAATGACATTAGTCGAGGTAAGTAATAGAATACAAGAAGTCTATCGCATTCTACATCCTGCGGGCATATACAGTTCTATTGGCGTATACACACTCATGCAGCCTTTGTCTAATGCGCCTCTCCCTCTCAGGTTTATGGGCGGGCACCATCGGCGTGCGCCGCCTCCTCAAGCTCTTCGAAAAATACAACATCAAAGCCACCTGGTTCATCCCCGGGCACTCCCTGGAGACGTTCCCGGAGGAATGCGCCATGGTGCGCGATGCAGGGCACGAAATCGGCCTGCACGGGTACTCGCACGAGAATCCCTCCGACATGACACAGGAACAGCAGCGCGACGTGCTCGACAAGACCTATCGTCTGCTGACAAATTTCTGCGGCAAGCCGCCGCGCGGCACCGTTGCGCCCTGGTGGGAGACCAGCGCCGAGGGCACAGATCTCCTGCTCAACTATGGCATCGAGTACGACCATTCGATGGGGCACCATGACTGCCAGATGTACTGGTTGCGCACAGGGGATACGTGGACGAAGATCGACTATAATAAGAAGGCTAAGGACTGGATGAAACCGTTGGTCAAGGGGCAGGTGACGGGGCTTGTGGAGATTCCGGGCAGTTGGTATATCGATGATTTGCCGCCGATGATGTTTATCAAGAATGCGCCCAACAGTCACGGGTGGACGAATCCGAGGGATGTTGAAGAGATCTGGAAGGTGAGTGTATATATATATATTCTTTTGTCGTTCCCCTATCTTTGGTTCTAATCAAAAACGAACTCCCAAATAGGACCATTTTGACTATTTCTACCGCGAATACGACGAGTTCATATTCCCGATGACAATCCACCCGGACGTCTCCGGACGTCCGCATGTTCTCCTCATGCATGAACGGTATGTTTATTCCATCATCATCATCATCATCATCACCATCATCACCCCCCTCCCCACGGTCTGTCTCCATGGGCCCAGAACTGAGAACATACGGTGTTTCACTGCAGCATTATCGAACACATCAACAAGCACGAGGGGGTCGAATGGGTGACCTTCGAGCAAATGGCGGATGATTTCAAGCGCAAGAACCCGGTGCCGGCAGGGGCGAAGATGCCAGCCCCGCGGGGAGCAATCTTGAAGACACCGCCGTTGAATCAGTAGCTTTTTTTTTTGAGACATCACTCCGCGGGAAGCAATCTTGAAGACACCGCTGCTGAATCAGTAGCTTTTTGGAGACATCATTCCGCGGGAGGGCTCCACTGGCTGTCAGCGATGTGGTGATGATCCCTGAACAGAATGGCTCCGAATCGCGGGAGGCGTCTGCTCCGGCCAAAGATTTGACGTAGATAGCAGTTAGTTCTATTGAGACAAACAGAGCTTGCGTACCACGAAACTCCCCTTGCCAGCTGAATGATTGTAATGGCTCCCGTATCATGCTGAAAGCTCTATATAAACACCATATCGTAACCCGCAGTCCAACCTGCCTGAAACCACATCGTAGACCCGGCACAAATCATCTTTATACCTCGAAGTTGACGTAATCGGCTCCTGGCTGGGGCTTCCCAACTAGTTACTAACCAACTTGGGTTAGGCAAACAGCAACCCCACTCCTTGGCCCCAGCCTTTCGCCCGCATTACGACAGTACGATACATACCATACAAGTACGGCCTGAACCTATACCAGCCAGGTTGTTGTGTGCTGGCCCCCACCCCCACTTTGCGCACGCCGAACACCCCCCCAACCAACCTCCCCTAACAACAGGCGGTCCCAGGCCCGCAGTTTAGGGCTGGCTCCGGCGCTTGGGCGCTGGGCGTTGGGCGCTGGGCGCTGGGCGTTGGGCGTTGGGCGTTGCAGGCCTGCCGTTTCCCCGGCCCAGCCAGGCGCCTGCTGCGGTGCGGGTGGCTTCCAGGCAAGAGATCGGATCTCCTTTTTGGGGTGGGGCCAAGATGCGGGATGCGCCTGTTGCTGCTGGGTCCTGTGAAGGCCTCTCTGTTCATAATAATTGCGTGCTGGCTGGCTGTTTGCGCCCGGGCAAAATGTGCCGCGGACGAATGGGCAGAAGAGCGAGAAAGGAATAGGAGATTCAGGCGCTTCTTCAACGCATCATCCCTCCCGCTTTCTTTCTCTTTTGTTGGTGGTACCAAGAGCTTGTCCGGCAGTTTCCAAGGACGCGGGTTCTTTTCCCAGGTAACTAGCTAGCTAGCTATTTGTTTTTTGCTTGCGTGTTCGGGCGTTCAGCGACGGTGATTGTCGTTCCTCTCTCTCTATATATAAGACTGTTGCTGCCACAGGTTAGCATCGCAGAGGGGCGAATTACGGAGGCCCCAAATAGGTCTCCTGATTTAAATAGAAGCTGGTGAAGGTGCCCCCGGGTTCCTTTACGGTCTTGATCATTTCTTGTTGCCGACTGTTTCATTCTACCTGTCTGGATTCTCCCACCATGTGTCCCATACCGGTCAAACAAGTACAACCCCGCGACGACTCGTGTAAACTCAAGGTTTCTCTTCTCCCTCCCCTCATTCCTTGTATTCAGAAAAGAAAAGAAAAGAAAAGAAAAGAAAAGAAAAGAAAAGAAAAGAAAAAAGATAAGAAAAGAAAAGAAAGAAAAGACAAAAAGGGAATAGACACGTCTAACAGGTCCCTCCCAGGTCGTAGTCGTCGGTGCCGGACTCGGGGGTCTCGGAGCAGCCATCGGCGCCCTCCTGGCCGGCCACGCCGTCACCGTCCTCGAAGCCGCACCCCAAATCGCAGAAGTAGGCGCCGGTATCCAAGTGCTCCCCAACAGCTCCCGCGTCTTGACCTCTTGGGGCCTTAGGGAAAGACTCTCCCACCATGCCACCTGGCCGCGCCAATGCAACTTCCGCGGCTGGAAGGGCGAAATCATCTCCTCTATGGACTTCCACGAATCCCAGTCCCAGTTCCCCGGCACCTGGTATGGGGATTTCCACCGCGCGTCGCTCCATGCCTGTCTCATGGAGCGCGTTGCGGAGCTGGGCGGCGCCATGCGGTGCAATGCGAAAGTCGTCGATGTGGTTGTGAGCGCGGACGGCGCGACGGCGACCGCTGTCATGGAGGATGGGAGCCGGGAGCAGGCGGACTTGCTGGTGGGTGCGGACGGCGTTTTCAGTCGGTTGTCCGAGATCATGTTGGGGAGGGAAAATCCGCCGAAGAAGACGGGGGATCTGGCGTATAGACTGCTCTTGTCGACGGAGAAGATGCTGAAGGACCCTGAGCTGAGGCATTTCGTAGAGGAGCCGCAGGTTAACTACTGGCTGGGCCCGGATGCGCATGCCGGTGAGTTCAACTAAAGGGGTCCCCTTTTCTGTTTATTTTTATTTTTATTGTCATTATTATTATTATTGTTATTATTGTTATTATTGTTATTGTTATTTAAGTTTTGCTGCTGTCATGGTTTGGGGATAAAAGGCTCTGTACATTGACATGTCTGGCAGTGAACTACGTCCTACGAGGAGGCAAGCTCTTCAATATGGTTCTCCTGGTGCCAGATGACATACCCGACGATGGGGCCTCAACAGTGGAAGGCAATGTGGAAGAAATGTGTGCAGCGTTTAGGGGCTGGGATCCGAGGTACGCATACAACCAATTGTCCAATTCAATCGAATGCGTTCGGTTTTCCCAATGTATGGAAAGTATATGCACCCATCTAACCTTGACTGGTAAATCCCTACAGAATCGAAAAGCTCCTCAAGCTCTGCAAATCCGTCTATAAATGGCGCCTGTGCTACCGCCTAGGCGAACACGACTGGACCCATCCATCCGGCTCCTGGACTCTGCTGGGAGACGCTGTCCATGCAACTCTCCCATATCTGGCATCCGGGTATGTTTGCAGCCTTCAAATGAAAAGAAAATGAAAAGGAAAAGAAATTTTTAAAAAGAAAAAGCCCAAAAGAAGACAGAAAGTAAAAGGGAAGAGGCTAACCTACCCCATAGCGCCGGCATGGCCTTCGAAGACGGCTGCGTGCTAGGCGAATGTCTCTCCCGCCTACCCAACGCCCCCAACACCGATAAAAAGTCCACCTCCTTCCTCGCGGAGAAACGTCATGCGCTCGCAGTCTATGAAACGTGTAGAAAGTCACGCACGCAAATGGTCGTTCAGCGCGGCAACGTGCAGCAGTATCTGTACCATTTGCATGATGGGCCGGAGCGGGACGAGCGGGATCGGAAGATGCGCATGGTGCCCACGGAGGAAGGGGAGGCGTTGGCGTGGAGGGATCCGGGGCTTGCGCCGAAGCTGCTGGGCTACCAGTGCGAGAAGGATGTGAGTTTGTTCATGTTCATTCCCTTACCCTCTTTTCCTTTTTTTCTGTGTTTCGATGGTCGTCTTGGAGGGGGGAAAGAGGTTGATTATTATTTGTGGGCCGGCTGGGTTTTTTTTTTTTTTTTTTTTTTTTTTTTTTTTTTTAATATGTTAATTAACCCTCCGAGATGGTAAAGCAGTTTGACTGACAGGAATCTTGCATTTCGAATCTTCACAGGTCGCTGAGCACTGGAATACTGTTCCCGTTCCCTCGCTGCACGCCACGAGTCAGACACCGGAGGCGTCAAGGCTTTGAGAATCACGAGTGTCGGAGACACAATAGAGGGATCGAAGGAGCGCGGGAGGCGGTTGGACTTGGGGATTTTTTTTTAATAGTTAGAGCAATATTAACGACGTAAAAGACTTATTTTCTGCATCTAGGTATAGGTATTCGGCATCTCGAGGGACAACAAGTGAACTTTTGTTTGGTCCTACGACCTCTTATTACGCAGTGTTTGATTTAATGCAGATTATAGAGAAATAGTAATATGAGTGTTATGATTGTATATGCTGGAAATAATTAATGCAGACTGTTTTAGTACATGAATATATACTATAGTAAGTCTTCAAAAAGAACAAAAGGACATCTATCTAACTCACCAGGAAAATGATATGGAAATTGAAATTCTTTCCTTCAGTCTCCCTTAACTTCTCTCTTCGCACAGCCCCTTAACCTTCGCAGCCCTCTCTCCAACCAATTCATCAAAATACCCCAACAACTTCTCAGCAGGGACCATATCCAATACGCCCAACTCGGGACTCGAGCTCGTCAAAACCCGTCCCCCAAAAAGCACGCGGACAACATAGCTTCCAATCCCACAATTCCCATCTCCCCGGGTAGTAGCAGCATTGCGAGAACCTTCTCCCTCCGTTTCCAGTTTCCGGTAGAGCTCAAAAACCACCTCCGCCCCCATCCCGGGCCAAACCATAACATCAACCTGCAAAACCGACAAGACCCTTGACAAACTCCCATCATGCGCAACATTGTGTCTGTAAATCCTCCCCCCATCGTTCCCCGCAATCTGGTCGCGGATATGCTGCGCCAGCTCCGCGATGAAAACACCCATGCTACCCGCGCTCGCCGCCAGTGAAGTCGGCGCGTCACGGTAGATGTACGAGTACTCAAACTCGCCGAGGCGGAAGATGCTGTCCGCGTCGGCCTGGGATACGCATTTGCTGCTGTCCGAGAGCGAGCAGGGGAGTGGCTTGGAGTGGCAGAGGCGTGCGGAGAGGTTATCGAAGTAGTGATCGACGTCCTGGTGCCAGTCTTGTGCGTCGGGGGAGACGCCGGAGATGCTGTCTAGGTAGGCGAGCAGGGGAGCGGAGAGAGTCAGGTGTTTGGACCAGGAAGTGTTTGGGGTGATTCTAGCGGCTGAGAAGAGGTTTCTAGAGCGGGGGCAGAGGTATTTGGGTTCAAGGGAGTCGATGGATGGGGACTATTTCTGTTGTCAGTGTACCCTCTCTCGATCTCTCCATTTTCCTTTGAAATTGAGAAAAGAGGTATTTCAGGGGTAATGCTGCCGCTCACTTCGACCGCGAGTGGAACGGCATGTTCGGAGTTGTACATGCCGTTTATGACCATGCTGGCAACTTGGCTGGTGATGACATTGCTAGTCACTCGAAACGATAACTTTTCAAGATCGAGCTGTGAAGGAAGGAAATGAAGCAGGTCGTGATACACGCCGTAGATGTCACGGCCATGCTGCCACGAGTCGTCGAGACCTTCTCTGGTGATCTGCGGGAATGTGCAGGTGCCTTTAAAACCGAAGGCTCTGAAGGGGTTTATTGGGTTCTCAAACACGTCCCAGTACGTCTGGGCGCTGGAATGGCCAGACACGGGCTGGCCGAAGTGGAATAAGCCTTCATCGTTGCAATGCCATTCATACGATTCTACAGGAAAGGAATTGGAGGCATAACTATGCTTTTTGGTCAGCGCACCACACATCCATACGTTACATGATATTACAACAATACTTACACAGTCCGCTTGTGATGTCTGTGCATCTAATGCTCGAACATGTTAATCACGTCCGCTTGATCCTTTCAGATAGAAATATCGACTGATCATACCACTTCAACATATTGGAGCTTGTACTCCTTCGAAGGTATTCCATACTCTGTCTTGCGGACATGGGGCATGTTGCACAAATTGTATATCCCGTACTGGGCATCTGGGGTCTTGGAAGAGTTGAAAATGAAGCCATAAACACCAGTCATGTTCATCAGGCTATCAACATTATTGATCGCCGTGGATTTGGGAGGGTACCATGACACATCAACTGCCTCCGAATGCTGCGTCGCAAGCACAGAGAGAAAGGGAAACCAGGATGATAGTCGAAGAACACCCGCGTTTATCACCATATTGATGGCCCCCCGCAGAGAATAATCGAGGACGATAAAAATTAAAAGAATGGAGACGTATAGCCAGCTGGAAGAGGAAATGAAGGCCATTGTCAGCTCTTATATTGTCCCGACCGAAGTAGATACTGCCGAATAGATACGGGAACAGGTTCGACAGAAGGCCAGAAGATTGGTCAGATTCCACTCTTGCTGTGAAGAAAGATGACGTAGATTTCAAGCGATTGACAAGACGATAGATTTGAGCTATACTTCTTATGATGCAACGCTGACGGTTCTCAGACGATGATCATATTAACTATGTTGATGTATCTTCATCCAATGATGAGGGCGCCATGAGATGCACGTGCTGTAATTCAGCAATGCATATGGCTAGATGTATGCAGTAGATGCATAACATATATATATATATGAGTAAGAGGGTAAATAAGTTTTAAAGCAGACCATGCACCGTTATAAGCTGCTCGGTATAAGTTGAGGTTGATCCAAATCCAACTGCGAAGCGTCAGGAGGAAGATGGTCAAAAGCCCTAATTTCCGCTTTGGGAGGATACCTAAATCTTATCGCGATAAGGGTTTCATACTCACGTGATCCCTGACGCGCTGGGATAAATTGATCGATCACCTCAAACCCCGCGTCAAAGAGAGAGAATAAACAGTATTTCTGGAAATAGCAGCTAGATTTAACATTAACTCCCATCATGGACAAGCCAGAATCATCATCAGCTGCTGCAAAAAGAGGACTTCAGGAAAACCTCGCTGGAGCCCCGCCAGACTACGAATTGCCCTGGTAAGAGTCGAATCCAATAGGAGGGGCCGAATATGGCCCATGAACAATTGAAAATCGAATGGGGCTAACTCTATCATTCAGGGTTGAGAAATACCGGCCTGTCTATCTAGACGACATCGTCGGCAACACAGAAACTATTGAGCGGCTGAAGATTATTGCCCGAGATGGCAATATGCCCCATGTAATCATCTCCGGCATGCCAGGCATCGGGAAGACTACGTCAATTCTCTGTCTGGCGCGACAGATGTTGGGTGATTCATACAAGGAAGCTGTTTTAGAGCTCAATGCCAGTGATGAGAGAGGTATGGCGACCCCTATTTTTCTCAGCAGCGTCGAGCGTACCCTTACGTACCTGCTCGCAGGTATCGACGTCGTTAGAAACCGAATAAAGGGCTTCGCGCAGAAAAAAGTCACACTTCCGCCAGGACGACACAAGTTGGTCATCCTCGACGAGGCGGATAGGTATGTACTGTTCCCTCACCCTCGCCCTTTTCGATTCCGCTTCGTCATATTTACTCACCCTCCTTCCCCGTCCATGCAATAATAGCATGACATCCGGCGCCCAGCAAGCCCTCCGTCGAACCATGGAGATATATTCCACAACCACCCGCTTCGCATTCGCCTGCAATCAGTCGAATAAAATCATCGAACCCCTGCAATCCCGCTGTGCCATCCTGCGCTATGCGCGCCTCACGGACGCCCAAATCCTCAAGAGACTCACGCAAATCTGCCAAGCGGAGAACGTCAAGCATTCTGAAGACGGGATTGCGGCGTTGATATTCAGCGCGGAGGGAGATATGCGGCAGGCCATTAACAACCTACAGAGTACGTGGGCTGGGTTCGGGTTCGTGAGCGGCGATAACGTCTTTCGCGTCGTCGATAGTCCGCATCCGATTAAGGTGCAGGCGATGATCAAGGCGTGTTGGGAGGGGAATATAGATGCGGCTTTGGATACGCTGAATGAGCTATGGTATGTTCTACAGAAGTATTGGCTGCAAAACGCAAAATCAAACATTTTCGACTTGACATTGACAACGAATCATGGGGACAGGGATCTCGGCTACTCCTCACACGACATCATCAGCACAATGTTCCGTGTGACGAAGACGATCCCAACGCTCTCCGAGCATGCCAAGCTTGAATTCATCAAGGAAATCGGATTCGCCCACATGCGGATATTGGAAGGGGTGCAAACGCTCGTGCAGCTCAGCGGGTGCGTGGCAAAGCTGTGCCGGATCAACATGAAGCCTGAGAGTTTTGTCCCGTCAAAACAATAAACTAACGGCCAATGTAACAAACCTTGTTGAAAATGGCGAAGAAAGAGGAAACCCACTACCACCATTGAGTGATTGATGAGTGGGAATTTCGGGTGGCCGTCGACGGCCACGAATTGATGAGCCAAACCGATAACCACTCTGGTGACTATAATGTTGCTACATCTTACAGCGTTGGAGCGGCATAACTCAAATTCAGCATTTGAGGTGTGAAGCACAAAACCAACGAAATCATGGCAGTAATGAGAATACCCTTTTTTTTTTTTTTTTTTATTCGGGAACAATTAGGCCTTCCGGTAGCACAAAACACACGAGTGAACACCATCAAATCGGATGGCGAGGCACGTAGGACAGAGCGCTAGTTATATCGGCAACCAAAGGGAGAGCAGGACAATCGTAACGACTTCTTGTTAAACACGCAAGCTGACCACCCTCTCGTTTCTCCCTCCCTCTCCCCGCAAAGCATGTTCCTAGCTGCCCGCATTTGCGCTCGTTATAAGCTTCAGTCGCGACCGGAGAAGAGGTAATAGTTGGGTTAATAAAATGCTCTGTATGGAGTTCTGTACACAACATACGTACATCCCTAGCTACACAGAGCGTAAGGAGGATGGACAGGCGAAATGGGTTTATTCTCCTTTATTGGTTCGGTCCACCTTTCAACAAGGATCGACCGTAGTTAGTTAGTTAACTACACCACCCCCCCCCCCCCCCCCCCCCGGGATGCTATTCCCGGTGATATCTTTGTTATGGAATGTTCCCGCCTCCTTTGCTACTCCTATTATATGTACTTTCCCTTTTTTTTTTTTTTTTTCTTATGTGTGTGGAAATTAATTAATTATAATATAATCAGATTTAAAAGGGGAATTTCGAGGCTTCGATCAAAGCTCAGCTTTAATGA